TAATTTGGTGAAGATTACACTCACGGAAGGGTATCTACCCACCATAGACGTAGGCGATGATAAAGTCTTCCTTGGTGAGAGCGTCGTCATCAATGAGCAGAGAGCTGTCAAATCATAGCTATAACACTCATAATGAAAAAGTAATAACGATAGAAGTTGACCTGAAGGCAATTATTCTATTTCTAGGTTACTCCAACTCGGATTAGAAAAATAGCCTCAAGAGATCTGCATAAGCTATTGATGAATTTTAGGAACTACGTAACAAGTTGTTACAATTCATAAGGACAGGACATCTTTACACGAGAGAACTCCAAAGTGTGAAACGCTTGTTAAAAAGATATCCGAATGTATTTTTACTTCTCGAGGAGTCCCTGCCGTGTACTAACATAATAGAACACGAAATACATCTGGAAAATATAGTCCTAGTCAATATAAAGCAATATAGACATTCACCCGTGCAGAGAGAGTTCATATCGTTCCAAATCGAGAAACGATAAAAGGATGGAATAATCGAAGAGAGTAACTCGCCTTATAACTCACCGCTCTGGATTATTCACAAAAGCCCAGCGAGCGACGCGACGGTTTGTTGAGATAGAGAATGGTTATTGATTTCAGAGAGTTAAATAAAAAGTCATCGGCGACGCCTAACCTTTACATAATATTGCCGATATTTTTAGATTAGTTGGGAAGCTCAATGTGCTTTTCGATGTTCGATTTAATTAGTGGATTTTGACAAATTTTCTTAAGGGTTAGGTTGAGGACAGAGGGAAAACGGCTTTTTATATTTTTTATGGACACTTTCATTATATTAGAATGTTGGAAGGCTTAATGGACGCGCTAGTAATCTTTCAACCAATGTTGAATGAATTGCTGCGGGGACTATTAACCTTCAGAGGACGGGAAAACCACTTTAGTGGCTCAAAATAATTTCTCAATTTTATCTGTAAAATAGGTTAATTCTGGGGTTTTTAGTCATACTGATTACGAATTTGATGACATAAGACAAAAACTAAGAAACAACCTGTAACGGTGTAGGCTGGTCATGGCCTACACCGTGTGTTCCTCCTCTCTCTCCGCCCTTAGCAAGGGCTCACGGCGGGCATCTGACGCACGTGTATTTCCGTGCCTGATGCCAGCCTTTGTTTTCAGTATCGGTCTCTCTTCCACGAGCAAGAAAAAAAGAGAGAGCAGCGGCAGTACCCAGTGAGCAGGACCGCTCAACAATATACGCTCCCGTCAGTCACCGTTGAATAGAGAGAGAGAGAGAGAGACAGAGACAGAGATAGAGACAGAGATAGAAAGAGAGAGAGAGAGAGAAGAGAGAGAGAGAGAGAGAAAGAGAGAGAGAGAGAGAGACAGGGACAGAGACAGAGAGAGAGAGAGAGAGAGAAAGAAAAACAGAGACAGTGAGAGTGAGAGAAAGAATGCAACTATGGTGCGGTTAGGCACGTGGCACTGGCCACGCTTGACGGTACCGCGTGCCGCCGATTAGGCAAGTGAGTGGTGGGGGGAGGCGTGAGTAGCAGTCTCTCATGCACTCGTAAGTCGTTTCTCACCGGCATTAGGAGAGAGACCTCGCCAGCGAGTACAGTGCAGCAATTCAGCGCAGCGTACGATTTAGTGGGGCAGCATTTTGAGCCAGCCTTTGTCCACTGGCCGCGCCATAATCCAAGAAGTCGCCAGCCAGCGAAAAGTTCTACGTGCCAGCCCAGCGGACTTCGCCGACTCGTCAGGTCATCCTCTCTCCTCTTGTCTTTCTCTCTTGATCGATTTTACCTTTACGGCTACTCGCGATTTGTGCGCTGTGCCAGGCTCTCGCCGGCCAGCACAACTATATTAGTGGTTAATTTTTCACTTTTTTACTAATTTTAATCACTTTTTTCTAACTTTTTACTTTTAGTAGATTTGGTAAATAAGTTTCACGGTGATAACCATTTACTTTGTAACGTTCCCAAAACTTTAAGAAGTTACGATGAATTGACTCACCACTCTGCTCTAACCAAAAACCTAAGCCATTATTGTTTTCAATAAACTTAAAACCTTCTTTTACGTGTGAAAGAATAACATGAATTTTTAATGTCTCTGAAAGTTGTTCAATACTTTCCAAAGCTTGTTTTAATTCTTCAATATAATCATCAAGTGAAGATCCTACTTTTCCATAGGTGAAACAGCAGATTACCACCTTGTCCACAGCTTTAAAAGCTGCAATAAAAGGTAAAATTTTAAAAATACCTACCTCTCCACATATTTCAATATCTTTAAGTCTATCAGACTCTTTCACAAGCTTCCTACACGCATTGCCCTCAAAAGCATCGCCATGATAATTTTTTGAAATAAGATTGAGTTTGTGTGGCCATAATAGAGCTTTTTCTAAGCCTAAAAGGGAAACCAAACCTTGCCAAAATAAGTGGTTTACGAAACCTTGCAGGACATGTAATTCAGGTATAACATATTTCTTCAAAACACAAACATCATCTTTTTCATCAAAAATGGAAGGATTAATTGTGCTGTGACATATCCTACTACATTCCTTTTCTTCTTCTTGATTTCTTAAAAGTTGATGTCTATCGAAATCTCTTCTTAAATCGCAAATGTTTTTAACTTCGTAGCATTTGCGACTTCCAGTGCATCAGATTCATTTGAAGTAGTGTTGCCATTCAAACTTGTATCTGGAGTCGATTTGCGTCCCAATTTATTTAGAGAGACGAAGCAGTACGGACAAGGATATGACGAAGTTGCAGTTTGTTGACCATTTACAATCAGCAAAAGCTTAAAGTCTGCAACAAATTTAAAGGGGATATCATTAAGTTTAGTCAAATCAAATAAAAGCTGAATATTTGCGTGAGTTTCTTTGATTCCAGGAACCACACACAACAATATCAACCTATTGACACTTGGTAGCTTACCTTTTTTGCTTAAGCGACCTCCATCAGAGTACAGCGTTCTTTTTTTGGAACAATTGAAATCAACTGAATCTTCTGGATCACTTTCGTCATAACAATCTTCTTGCATGGAACTTTCTTCATTTTTAGGTGAATAACTAGCAGGCATAATACATAAACTAATTTTGAAAAAATTTTGTCCACCATCAGCCATAGCTTTGATACAAAAATTGCCCACTAATCCTCTACTTTCGATAACTTTGTCTAAAAGTCCTTCTGCGTTGGCATAGACAACAGGGCGTGATTGCTTTTCTGCCTCTGTTCCGCTTTCACAATCAAATTCATGTACACCTGATTTGAAAACATCTTTTAATTCTTTAGACTTTTTTGACATATGCTCTCTGTAGTTTTTTGGAATAGACATTTTACCCACATTACACCTTATGAAATTTGTAATTTTTTTCATTTCTCTTTGTGAAGCTGCTAGTTGGACTCGAAAATTATCTAATTTATCTTCATCGAAGAACACTGTCTTATCAATCTTATTTACTGTGATCCTTGTACTTCACCCAGCAGTACTTAAGTTCAAGTCGACATTGACTCGTCTGCCATTTAGATCAGGTTGAGATTCTAGATTGTTTTTAATAACATGCGTTGCAATTTGCTGTTGTACTTTTTCTGGGAGTGTCTCAACGAAGCTTAGTATATTATCCCTATGATTATTGCAAGTATGAGTTTTACCTCTTTTTATTTCTTGATAACTCTTGCTGCAATATTTAATAAGATCAACAGAATCACTACTTTTATTCAATGAAAGCTTCTCTAGTTTTTGTGATTCATAAAAGCCAGTAGAAATATCAATTTCTTTATTTATATCTTTAAATTTCCCTCTGCCTTTCTCAACTTTAATGTGCCCTTTGGACTTGGCAGTCAAGCACACATAACAATCACAATCGTTATTCAAGCGAGTTTGTTTCAATAATAATAATTCCTCATGATGAGGCATAGTTGGTAATTGCCGATTGAAAATTTCTTTTTCAAAATCAATCAGTGTCAAATAACAAGACCTGCATATGCACAAAGGATATTTTTCATCATTTAAATCAAATTCTTTAGATATAAACTTTTTTATAAGTTTTTCAATAGATTGACTTATTAAAAATTTGTCTGGCTTAATTTTTCCAAAGATAATTTTTCGACCACAGGGGCCACATACTTTTTTTCTATTATCCTGATGAGAACACGGCGGAGTCATTTTTAAAACATAAGTTTCAAAAATGCAACTCAAAGAGGTTTTGTGGATTTTTCTTCGGTATATATGTTACTTCAACATGAATTTTCCTCTTACAGATTAGCCACCAGCTAGCGGTATAAATAGAAGCTGAAAATTGGCATATATTTAGAAAAAAAACAAGAACTCTATCAAAATTAGCTGAAGCATTTTGAGAAAAATAGAAGATTAAACCTTTCAAGTTTTGGATTGTTCATTAAGCCAAGTGAATAATTTATTAACATAACAATAAATTGTTGAAAAAATACTATAATTAACAATAAATACTGAATAAAAGCTTAATTTACTTGATTTATAGTTAAAAAAAAGATTGCACATGTGGCCTTGAAAGCTCTACTTATAGCACTTCATGAGCGCGCATAGCGTAAATACAAAAACGTCCGTAACTTTCGAAACCGATCACTTAGGATTTTCAATTTTTCATTTTTTTCATCTACAAATGATGTAGAAACTTTCTGCGTTAGCGGATTTTGGATCCATTTTTGGACCACTTTTGCATGCTTCAGGAACACTGTGTATACTGCAATTTCTGCTCCGTGATGCATCATCGTTTTGTAATTCAAGCGAGTTGCTACTTTGAGTAGATCAATTAAACTTTTAGTATCTCTGTATAATAAGAACTTATTTTTTGGTCAACTTATATTACACACATTTTTTTATTTTTATGTCTCTAACAGATATTGTTCATTCGATTAATTAGAAACCTTATTTCGCGTTTATAAATCGTATTTCTATTATATTTATTATATATAATTTATTCATTATTCTAAATGTCCACATATAAAAATAAAGCATGAACATTACATAATTCAAGAATTACTTTATAGCTATCCACCATCATTTGCACCACCAGAAAATAATATATCATGGCTATATGATGAATTAGATAAACAATGGCGACTATGGTTACCTGCTGGTACTTCAAGCACGGTTAAAAAAGGAGCTTTCTACTCTGTTTTAGTACGTCCAGGGTTTCGGATAATTTCAATTAATACTAATTATTGTAATAACAAGAACTGGTGGCTTTTAATGAATAGTACGGATCCAGTTAGCGAATTACAGTGGTTAATCTATGAACTTCAAGGCGCTGAAATAAATAAAGAAAAAGTGCATATTATTGGTCATATACCACCTGGTCACTCAGATTGTTTAAAAGTTTGGTCAAGAAATTACTATCACATAGTTAATAGGTAAATTATGATTCAATACAGTACTTTTGATAAGCTTTATATTTACTTATTAAATTAAAAAATATTCTAATATAACAAAAAATTTGGTATTATAAGGAAAATTGAACTTTTAGGTTATTAGTTATAGTATATATATTTTTTTGATAATAGCATAATAGAAGGCTGAAATTACAACAAAATATTAAGTTATTTCTTGAATTTATGTCGTACGCAGATCTATTAAAGAATGAACATTTTCGATTACAACATAATGTTAAGCTTAAGTTTACGTTTGGATATATTAGGAGACGCTGTATACTTCCGAAATTAAAAAAAAAATAAAATTTTCCACAGAAAAAAAGCAAATTTCCTAACATTTATGTTCGGGCGGAGCGACGGTGGAAAAGAACATGAGACGAAAAGTTATCTCTTGAACATGTTACGGTGTAACGTAAAAATATTCCTCAATAATAAATATTGTAATAATGAAATAGAGGGAAATACGAGTTGAAAATTCACTTAATTTTAATTATATTCAGTAACGTTTCGTCAGCACATTTGCTGACCTCTTCAGGTTTTATTAACAGAAAAAGAACAAATTTTTAACAATAAAATTTCAAATGTAATTTTTAAAGGCAAATTATATGTATATGTGTGTACCTGATTTCTCTCATAGTCAAATTATTATAGGCTAAAACGAACAGACTTGTGAATCTGACGCCCAAAAAAATTTTTTAATCATATTTTTGAGTTTTCATGAGCTAAAACGTTTTCTCCCTTTTTCCGGATTATGTCTCCGCTTGAAATTTTATTTCCGGATTTTCCGTTTTTAAGAAAATTGCGAAATAAAATCGGGTGTTCGTACAGCGCGCAAAATGCATTAAACATTTTTCTCCTGTTTAAAAAGAAATAATATCGATAGCGGATGATAGCTCCTTATTCCCGGATTACGAAACAATGTTCCTTTTGTCGATTTTCTATCCGAAATTGAGGAAAATGTAAAAATTAGTAATATATGCGGCAGTTAGTCGATAAAACAGGTCAAACTTTTGCTAATCATCAGATATCCCTATATAAGTTCTACATTGCGTAATTATAATAATAAGTAATTCAAATTCTACTCAATTAACCATTCACATTTTATGTACTGCAACGATTACCGAAAATCGTTCGACTCGCATAGGTTACGAAGCGGCTGAGCGTAGCAGCCGCGATCGGTTTGAGAGAGAGAGAGAGGGCGCGTAGGGGCAATGACCGAGAGGGGAGAGTTCGTTAGCCAGTATGACTGTGTCACTCAGTCCGGCTACACATCTAGCTACCGTTTCCGAGCTGTCAACGCGTTCTTGAGTTGTGCGAGATCCAGGAAGTTTTCCCCGAGTGAGAACTAGAGTGTGGAGTGCTGAGTGCGAACACTGTTCTGCGTGCGCGACATCGGCAGCTACGAGAGCATCAGCAATCCCGGCGGCAACGCAACAACAAGCAGCTGAGCGCAACAGCAGCAGATTAGCGAGCGTAGGAGCGGTCGACCTGCAGCTAGTGCGTCGGATACGGTTGGCCACCGTAATCCCAACAACTCCATGGTAGGTGCACAATATTGCTATTGTCATTAGCGTGCGATCCCGCGCAGCGTGCGCGGTGAAATTATAATAAGTGTGCGAGCGTTCAGTCCGCGACGGTCGCGAGTTTTTTTCTCTCTCTCTCCCCTCGGTTGCATTGTCAATCGTATTCGCGTGCGTGAGTCTCTCGGCAAATCCCTCCCGTGTATCTGATTTAATTTAATAAAGCGAACAGCAGTTATTCGTAACCGAGTTATTGCTTTGTCTTTCCTTTGTCCGGGGTACTTGTTATTGTTTACGTCCGGTTCGAATAAGCCGGTAAAAAGGCACGGATCGCGTAGACATCGAGAGAAGCGACTTGCCAGCTGAGATACCAGCAGCGGCCGACGGAGCGCTGCGAAGCAAGCGCGACAGCGCCGCCAAGTGGCGAGTTCGCGAACCCAACTCCGCTTGGCGAGGGAACTCTGCGCAGGTGCACTCCCGGACAAGGTAGGTTAACGTGCTCACAGCACGTAGATAACAAGGCGTCGTTTGACCGAACTAAAGGACAGGTTTAATAGTTTAAAGGTTAAGCGGCAGCCTGTTACAGTACATATACATAAATAATTTTTTCTAAGGTTTTCTATAAGTTTGTCAACATGCCAATTTTATAATTAATATTTTAACTATATAAAATAACATAATTCTGAACAAAGTAATAAAAAAATTGAACTGACTAGTTAAAATTGAAAAAAACAATCATTGATCAAAATCTTATAGCTTAGTTTTATATTTGTTGAATTATTTAATAACGAACTTAATTTTACTTCCATTCTTCTTAACAATATAAAGTAATAATCCATTGTAGCATATTATAAAAATACTTCAATATACAGGTCAGGTTAAAATAAACTATATTTGTTTTGTCAAAAATATATTTGTTTCAACGTAGCAACACTTTTGCTAATTTTGTGGATAATGATTACGATTAGGTATTTGCATAAAAAAATATAAATAATCCAATCTAATTGTTTTATAGTTTTTAATATATTTTATAATACGACATATTGTTGACAATGTTTATCAATAAATATTGTATATATAACATAAGCAAGGAAAAATAAATTATATATTTTTGACAAAACAAATATAGTTTATTTTAATCTGACCTGTATATTGAAGTATTTTTATAATATGCTACAATGGATTATTACTTTAAATTGTTAAGAAGAATGGAAGTAAAATTAAGTTCGTTATTAAATAATTCAACAAATATAAAACTAAGCTATAAGTTTTTGATCAATGATTATTTTTTTCAATTTTAACTAATCAATTGAATTTTTTTATTACTTTGTTCAGAATTATGTTATTTTATATAGTTAAAATATTAATTATAAAATTGACATGTCGACAAACTTATAGAAAACCTTAGAAAAAATTATTTATGTATATGTACTGTGACGGTAAACGTCAAATTAGCGCTGATTATTTAGCTTAATTGCTGCCTGTGAGGACAGCACCTGCCGGGGGGACGAAATTCGTAACTAAGGAATTCGGCACGCGAGCAGACGGAACGCGCGCGATTGAATTCGAACCAGTGAAGCATTGACCATTGTCGCGTCCGCCCGCTTTCGCTACCGCCACTACCGATCCACGTGCCCTTGACGACTACACGCCAAATCAGCGACGTTCGACCAGTGCCAGATACCCGTGACAGCTGCCACCGAGGTGCCAGAGATTCGCCAGCTCAAGACCAGGACGGGAGAGAGTGTGTGGGGTTTCGCCATCGAGGGCGAAACCAGTGTGTGCGCGCATTCGCGACCCGCGAGCAAAAACAATAAAAACTGTTCCGCGCTGTGTGGTTCGACCCTGTCTTCTCCGATCGCCTGCAAATATAAGGTAAGCTGGCCAGCTTAATTTCGCGATCGCGGTGGCGTGATTAATAATCAAGTTCTAATATTCGATGCGTGCATGTAACGGCTCTAACAACAAAGAGCAGCGAGCGTCCCGGCAATACGTGTTGCCGACGAGCGAGCGTCAACGTAAACAAACCCGCGGGCCGACCTTCTGTAGACTATAAGGAACAATAAAAGATCTAGTCCATATTACTAACAAGTGTTTTCTTTTGATTCTCTTATATCTCATAGCTTCCACTCACTTTCCTTCGATAAGAGAACTTACTGGTTGACTGGCGCCTGTCTTTACATGCTCTCCGATTTACGTACCGAGCGTAATTAATTGCGCGCGTCCTTTTAGTGTAATTGCGCGCATAAAATAATTAAACGGTTTTACCCCGTTACATGGCGCCCAACGTTAAAGAACCTACGGTGTTGTTGATTGTTCAAAACACCGGTTCTCAATAGTAACCTCGCGCCCAGTCAACCAGCGACTTAGGTGGCAGTCAAGTGTTGTTGTGCGCACTTGATACCGAAGGCCACGTTAGTAAACAAAGCCTGTTAGCTAGCTTGCGAAGGCCCGCCGCGGCGAAGAATTGTAAATAATAGCTGTGATCGCGTGCGAGTGCGACCGAAAGATTCTCGAACGTAAACACCAATGAATTTTGAAAGTTGCCGCAAATAATATTATTATACCCGTTGGCCCGGGGAAAACTAACACCGGCAATTTTCAAACAAAATTAATTCAATTGAATAATTTTATTTGACATCGTATTGTCTTAACGTAAATGTTTTTTTAATATTATTAACTGCGGTTATTGGTGATTACGCGCAACGCTCGTTACAATATTTTAAATACTAACTCACACAGCCGTACTAACAAACAGTTAGTACGTCTGATAGGCAGCATAATTATATTGCGTATTAACGAGCGAAGAATCTTTCGGCAAACAATTCGTAAAACGCCGTTGATCAAGCCCAGTGTTGGCTAATAAAATTTTTTTATTTTTTCATTCGGCATACGAATCATAATACAACACTCGCACCCGCGTAACATAACTGTAAATTTTACAAAGAAAGCAAACGCAAGCAAACAAACAGACAATTATGGACCGCACTCAGACAGAGATAGAAAACTGGGTATTGACGCTCCAGGAGGAGGAAATCGAAGAATACCTCGAGCAACTGGAACTCAAAACAAGCGGGACCAGGCTCTCGAGAGCTACACGACTACATAACTGGTTGCTTGGTGACTACTCGGCAGCAGATTTCGCAGAAGTCAACAACCAGCACAGCAGTCCAGCCAAAAGAGCCGCCCTACGCTCGGAGCTAATAGTATCCTTATGCCAGGAACACACAGCATCCGAGCAGGAGGGAGAACATCCGCTAGCCCAGCTAATGCAGAGTGCGGACGTAATATCGCGAGTACAAAAAACCGCGATAAACATCGCGAATGCCCTGGACAGCGGAGAAAACACAAATAGTAAGAAGGAAATTACTATAACGGCTGACGATGGCAGCCAGTTCAAACTCCCGCCGGCATTCGCGGTGATGATTCAAGGCCTCATTTTCCGGTCCAGGGAACATGAGA